CAACTGTTGCTGTTGGTCAAAGAAATTGTCCCTGATGAGACCGGCCATAGTGTTCAGAGACCACAAACGCCATCGCTACGGTACAGTCGTTCGGTTGATTCAGCACCAAAAATTTGTAGGAGCTTTTCTGAATGCAAAAATTGAGTAATAGTTCTCTTAAATAAAGGATAATTTTGCAGATTTTTCACACTCATGGTTAGTTTATTCCAAATAGCAATTGCATTTACAGAAAAGAACCAACGAAATTTAACAGTACGTGCCAGAGGAAGAAATAAAAAGACCTCACGGTGACTGTTACGTCGTGGGTGAACATGATGTCTTAAAGAGGTGAGCGGGTTAAATGTGTGATTATATAAGAGTTTAAATAGCAAAAAAGTCCCTTTTGTAATCTACGGAACCATAAAGGATCAAGGCCCGTAAGCCGGTAACGCTCTTGCTAAGACAAATGTCGGGTTTCCGGGGTTAAAATTCTCTTAGTAAAAAAGTGTTGAACGGATTCTATTTTCTTCAGCTCAGTAGCACGCATGAGGCTAAATAAAAACGAACAGTATTCCAGACCAAGTCTAACGTACATGTTGAAAAGGCGCATTCTAATGTCCCTAGTTTTGAAGTTTAGGAGGATAAACCCGGTCCTTCTACATGCTTTGGAGACTATCAAGTCACAGTGCTCCGAGAGATTGAGACTCTTGGAGTATGATTCGCCCAGACCCTTAATAACCCCAGGCACATTTATGGCGTGACCATCAATGTTTCGTTGAGGTTGGCGGTCGTCGCCAACCACCATGACTGAGCACTTATGCCAGGAAAGAGAGAGGCGTCATGTGCGACACCACTGGGCGAAAGCCTGTAGATCGTTCTTTAGGAGCTCAAGCACGATGTCATGATCTGCCGGCTCATATCGATATGCAACTTTAAGATCATCGTCATACATGAAAGGCTTACCATTCTGAAATCAATCGGGTACATCATTAATGAAAAGGCAAAATAAAAGCGGGCCGAGTACACTACCCTGAATGACTCCATTCCTCACAAGTGTGGGGTTGGAGATAGTATTGGAAATCCTAACTCGTTGTGTACGAGTGCCCATGTAAGAGGTTATAAAATTCAAATGTTTGCCACCTATTCCGAAAGAGGACAGTTCCAAGAGAAGAAGAGCGTGGTCAACACGGTTAAAAGCCTTAGTGAAATCGAAATATACTGTGTAAAGTGCAAAACCATTGTCCCTAGATTGGAGAACATAGTCGAAGAAAGAGAGCTGACAGGTGTCACAAGATCGAGCTTTGAGGAATCCATGCTGAGCGGCACTGAGTATGTTATTCTCTGTTAAGTGACACATCATCTTATCCTTGATAAATGTCTCCAAGATCTCCGAAACTGCGGGGAGGCTGTTTATTGGCCGAAAGTCATCAAATGACGTAGGTTTGCCCTGCTTAGGAATGGGCAAAATGTGTGATTTCTTCCACAGGGTAGGATAAGTTTCACTTTCAAGAGCAAGATTAAATATCTTGCATAAGAGGGATGGGAAAATCGTATTTGCACCGGCTTTTAAAATGCTTTGTGGGACACCTTCAGGTCTCGGACTATAAGATTGACGAAAACGCCGAATCGCATCAGTCACAACCCACTGAGTGAAAGTTATAGTTTCTAGAACTGCCCCGGTCAATGGCTGGCTGGTCGGAAGCGGAGTGGTCGAGTCCTTAATTAACGTTTTGGACAGGAATGCATTGAAACTATCAGCGGTTAGCTGGGCATCAACTATGAGATTTCCGAGAGCGTCACGGAGTATGGGATGCTGCGTCTTTCGGTGAGTTCGTATTTTTCTAGAGAAAAGTTTCGAGACATTTAACGAATGGTTTTCGGTTAAGTGGACCTCTTCGGCTAGCTGATTTTCTTCAGACAATCTCTTAGCTCGATCAAAAATATGACAAATCAAGGGCAGAACAGGAACATCGTTCTGAAGATGGAAACGACGATAAAGCCTGCGCAATCTGCGACGAAAGGGTAAGGGTAGGAAAACCTCACCCCCAACATTAATAATTTCCTTACGGGGGACAAAACGAGAAAAAAGCGAATCCAAAATTTCGTACAGATTTGCAGTGCAAACATTTACATCCGAACTAAGGAAGAAATCAGTCCAGTTGTAGGAATTAAGGTATGTTAATAATTCGGTTGAGCGGTTGATCGGAAATCGCGGAAAAAGTTATACTTTGGGGAAGACGTTTTGTCAGCCTCGAACTCCAACGTTGAAACAACTATGTCATGGTCTGAGCCCCCCAGTGGGCCTAGGGATGAAACTGACGATGGCATGCAGCCTCTACAGAAAATTAGGTCAAGTATGCTTGAGCCTTGGGTGGGAAAATCGACAACCTGAGTCCACATTCCAACATCCACAGCCTCAAGATAGTCTTCGAACCTTCTGGGGCCTGAAGGCGGAGACCAGCGGACTTCGGGGATATTAAAGTCATCCGCAACCAATTGATACTTAAAGCTTGAATCGGCCTCAGCATTAAATGCCTGTGAGAGTAAACGATCGAAATTGTCGTTGGCGTTGGGAGGGCGATAGACGCAGCCAATGAGTAAGGAGAACTTATTTTTTAGTGCAACCTGGAGCCAGCAGCTGCTTTCTACTGCGGAAAAGTGCGGGAGGTCCAACGGCAAAAATGTAAGTGTTTGCTTAACGTAGACGCAGCTGCCCCCACCACGGCTATCTTGGCGATCATTTCGAATGCAATTGCAGCCTAGAAGCGAGAGTTCGGAGTCAGCTACGGAGGCCGATGCCCATGTCTCAGTTACTGAAACAATATCTGGACAATGGACGAATACCAGAGTCTGAAGCAAAGACATCTTATTAAGCAAGGATCTGGCATTTAAAACAAAAAGTTTGAGGGGAAAGGCTGTTAGTTTCTGAGGGAGGTGGGCTACATCGTCCAGTTCTGGTCTGCCCACGGGGCAAACGGTCCGGATGTAACCATCCGATTCTGCAAAAAATTTGTGGCATCGAAAAATTCTGACGTGGATAAAAAGGAGTAGGACTTGGGGGAGGGAATGACGGGCAGGTAAACTGGTAACCATTGTTAGCTAACTTATTTTCAGTTTAAAATCCGCGGGGCAGATACCGCAACACATTCCCGCCGGAAAGAAAATGAGGACCGGATGAGTTAACTGATCCAGTATAGATATTAGCACGAGGAATACACTGGTAGAACGACTGTGGAGGAAACAACTTAGGGGGTGCGGGACGCATTTTTTCCATTGGAGCAAGAGTTTTATTAAACGGTCGGAAAATCGACATATCCGGCCTAACTGCCTCGATATGAGGGCTGCGGGACAGTTATGAACACGCTACGTTTTGAGTCGGGGTATTTGAGGCACTGTAAGCCGATTGTGGAGGAGAAGATTTTATAATGGTGCTCGATTTATCGGGTGTCCGAGTGGCTGAGACAGCAATTGTATTTGCCTTTCACTTAGACACATGTTTAGGCTTACTAGGGGTTGTTGGGGGAGTCTATAGAGGCGTGTTTATACCAGGCGTGATGGTGTGTTTAAAGAGCTTAGCATTAAAAGTAATCGAATTCCCTACAGAATTGACTGTGCCGTGATGTGCAGATGCCGCAGGCGTGATGGTTTGTTTATAGAGCTCAGCATTAAAAGTAGTCGAATTCCCTACGGGATTGACTATGCTGTGATGTGCAGATGCCGCAGATGGTGTTGTAGAGGACTTATTCGGACTGACAGTAGGCATCATTATCTTGGTGTTGGTTTTTGCCGATTTTAATGTATTCAGTTTTCGCTGCAGCGGTGCGAGGTCTGGCGAAACGGAGCAGCACCATTTACGGCAGAATTCTCTAGTTATCGCCCTACTCGACAAGATAAAATCGACTTCTTTCATGGAGAAAAGGGTGACTAGAATCGCCGCACTACGGCTAAGCGAGCGAAGTCGCTTAGCTTGTGCGACACTGAAACTCAAGCCAC